TTTGGGTTTTGGTAGTGAAGGATGGAGGTGACATCAACAGCAGCTGCAACAGACTCACTAGCCAGCAAGACATGAAGGCAGGCAAGAGGCAAGTGATGCTGTTTTCTCGTACCTACTCGTGTCTGGACTGCCATGGGAAAGCACGACACACTCTGGGCAAGGGTCTTTTCTGTCCCGGAAATGTCCTGAAAACAGATCCACTCAGAGGAGTATTTCTTAGCTAATTCCAGATCCAGCAAATTGACAATCAGACGTGTCCTCCACAAAGCATGTCTTGTCAGCAGCAAGTCGGGAGGAGTTCTGCACCTCACGGTAGCAGGGGGAGATTTAGCAGATAAGCAACAGCAACAATAGGTCACAGCCAATGGAAATGTCCTTAGACAGTCTCAAAATTATGAACCTGTCCAGGGGCTGGAGAGATGACTCAGTTGGAAAGCATGAGGGCCTGAGTTCAAATCCCCAGAACTCAGGGACAAGTTGGATGTGTAGCTTTAGTGTCTGAAATTCCCTAAGCTGCTACTGTGAAATTGGAAGTGGAGACAGGAGAATACCCAAAGCTCAAGGACTACCTAGTGCGGCACGTACACTGGGAACACACACACACACACACACACACACACACACACACACACACACACACACACACACCAAAAAACCAAAAACCAAGAGATAGTCTTAAACAAGGTGAAAAGTGAGGACTGAAATCTGAGGTTGTTCTCTGACTGCCACATGTGCAATGTGACACATGTGAATCTATATTCAAACACACGAACATGCACAGGACACAAAAATGCACACTGCACACACACACACACACACACACACACACACGATTATCAACATATCATGTGTTGGTGAAGAAATGGTTTAGGCCTCAGCAGTCAACTCAATATCTGTGGATGATGATTTTACTGACTTGGTCCCATAGGATTTGGGTTGTGTGCATAAGTCATCTGGTGGATACAACAGCAGTTACAAGCAATATGGCTGCAGCCAGTTTGGAGTGGATTGGCTGTGGGTCCTTATCTTTGAGCTCTAGGCTCTCCCTGTGTGTGCTCAGAGGAGGGTTCAGTTTCTCTATGGTCCACATGGCTCACTCTGGACCAGCTTTAGAATTCTTCTGATTGAGTTCTTTTAAATCAATTGAGTAATCTCCTTTCTCTCTCTCTTTCTCCCTTCCTTCCTCCCTTCCTTCCTTCCTTCTTTCCTCCCTTCCTCCCTCCCTCCCTTCCTTCCTTCTTTCCTTCCTCCTCTTCTCTTTCTTTTTCTTCTTTCTTTCTTTCTTTCTTTCTTTCTTTCTTTCTTTCTTTGTCTTTCTCCTTCATTTCTTCCTCTTTCTCTTCCTTTCCTCTTCTTTCCTTCCTCCCTCTCTCTTTCTTCTTCCTTTCTTCCTCTTTCCTTCTTCATTCCTTCCTTTCTCCCTCCCTCCTTCTTCCTTCCTTCCCTCTTTCTTTCTTTCTTTCCTTCCTCTCTCTTTACCTTCCTTCTTTTTAAAATTCCCCTAGAAGTTTTTGCTTTTTGTTCTTGATACTGGGGAAACAGCTATGAGAGACACATTAGGCATCTGCTAGTCTGATTGGACGATGGCACAAGGCGCTGACAAGACTGTGATAGATGGCAAAGTTAGGAGTCAGCATCAGATCCTGTGCCAGAATCTAGGGGATCCCTAGGCAACTCCAACCAGTGAAGAGAGTGAGTTGAGCATCTGAGGTGCTTTGAGGAAGAATAGAAGCTATCTGGGGGACAGACAGACAGATAGGCCTTGACATATAATACAATAGTGTATAATGCACTGTAAGAACTGTGGCAACAGTGATTTTCAGCCCAGGGGGCACTTGCAAATTACCCAGGAGCATCAAACACTGGTGGCCTGGGCCCCATCCACAGAGACTTGGATGCCACTGAACTGCAGGTGGAGTCCAGGTCAGGAAGGTATGGTAAGAAAAAAATGTCAACTTGGAGTAAGTTGGTGGAGGGTCTCCGCTAGGCTGTGGTCAAGGCTGTGGGCTTGCACTGCTGACGCAGGAAAGACAGACAAAGGGCTGAAGAGAGAAATAAAGAACCACTGAGCCCACAGTCAGGCCCAGTTTGCCCTGATAACTGTCCCATTTGAGCTGCTGCTGCTGCTTCCCACCCCATTTAAAAGTGAAAGTCAATAGGGAAATTAAAAAAACCATATCATAAAATAAAATAAGTTGAAAGAATACTCAATAAAAAGAAGCAGTGGAATAGTAAAAGCAGACAGCCAATGCAGTAAAATCTAGAAAAAAACCAACCAAAACAAAACTCAGGCAGACAGAATTACCACTAAGGGCTAGGCAATAAAATGACAGCTAAGATGTAGTAATGCAAGTTGGTGGGTGTCATCATACTTTGGCAGGGAGGGAAGATGATTTTTTATATTCTATAGAGGAGGGAAATCAGGTCTGGGGGACAGGTATGTGTCTGTAGCTGGCAGTGTTGTCAGGACAGTGCTGGCCAGGACAGGGTAATGTCTCCATTTTCCCGATGATGAAACAGGTTAACTTACCATGACCAGCCAGCTTGTCAGGGGAGGAGCATGACATTGAACTTACTTTTCATTGCTCTAGGTTTTCAAGGTGTTTTTAAAATTTTGTGTGTGTACAGTGTGTATGTGTGTGTATGTATGTGTGTGTGCATGTGTGTACGTGTGTATGTGTGTGTGCTCACACGTGTGCTATAGTACACATGTGGAGGCTGTAGGACAACCTCTCAGGGTTTACTTTGAAACAGGATCCTTTTGTTGCTTTTTTTTTTAAACCACCTGCAACAGGCTAGCTAGCCTTCCAGCATCTAGGAATTCTCTGGTCCCACCTCCCATCAACCCGTAGGAGTGCTGGGATTATAGATCCTTGTGCCACATGTCTGGCCCTTATGTGAGTGCTGGAGATTTCAACGCAGGTTTTCATGCTGCGGACAAGTATTTTAAACCACCGAACAAACCATCTCCCCAGCCCCTCGTTTTAGGGGTTTGAACTTAAGTTCTGAGCTCTTTCTGTTGAATAAATGTTCAAGCCTGGATGCCTTGTAGACTCATCCAATGAACGTGTAAAAATACTTGTCCAATTAGACATTTCTGTGAACAGTCAAACAGATACTCGAAAAAAAAATGCTCATTGTCACTAGTTATCAGGAAAGTGCAAGGTAGGATCACAATGGGACCTCCAACATATCAGAAGATACTATGTTAATGGAGAAAAGCCAGTCCACATACATGAAGTACCTAGAGGAATCAAACTCACAGAATCCAAGAATGGAACAGTGGGCACCAGCGTCAGAGGAGGGGCAAATTGGGAGTTGGCAGTTAAGGAGCATTAAGATTCAGTCAAGCAAGATGAATAGTTCTCTAGGTCAACTGTGCAAGTTTGTACTGTATAGCGATGCTGATAATTTATTGTGCACTTAAAATTTTAAGGGGAAAGATTTTCCTGTTTAAGTATTCTCATAGTCTTTTTAAAAACGTGACTTATAGATTGAGCAGGTTGTATTTAAATATTTAGGAATATAATATAAACAATTAAATAAAAAACCATGAATTTGAGAGAGGGCAAGGGGGAATACATGGGAGGGGTTGGAGGGAGGAAAGGTAAGTAGAAAGTTTTTAATTTCAAAAAACTAAAAAATTATTTGAAAACTAAGTAAACTTAACTTGTCATTATAACTTAGCTACTGTATTTATTTTGAGATCTATATCTATTTGTCTATTTATCAAGGCATCTATCTGTCATCATCTATCATAATTTAAAAACCAAAACACTGGTGGGGCCGGGGAGATGACTCAATGTTTAAGAGTGCTGGCTGCTCTTCCAGAGGACCAGGATCCCATTCCCAGCATCCACATGACAACTCATGACGGTCTGTAACTCTACTACAGGAGATCCAACACCTTCTTCTCATGACGTCTGTAACTCCATCCCAGGAGATCCAACACCTTCTTCTGGCCTTTGTGAGCACTTCACACACGTGGTGTACAAACATGTGTCGACAAAACACCCACACACATAAAAAAAATCCACTGGTACTAGTGATGGGACAAGTTCAGTGCTAACACGCCTGGTCTGGGCTGGGCCAGGAAGAAGAGATAAACAGTACACATAGACACACTTGGGACTTTGCTGTACTCTTCATGGTGATTGCAGAGCTACCAGCCCTGAGTCCTAAGCCCTTTCTAAACACTCAAGCTTTCCTAATTCCATGCTCTAGACGCAGTGTTTGTTGGTGCCCTGCAGGCAGGTGCTCCCATGGGTGTCACAAGCTGTTTTGGTTCACTTCTCTACTCCTCACACTTTGGGGACAATAGTGTACCTTTGGCCCTGGGGGCTAGATACACTGAGCAGTTGTCATCTAGATAGAGGAGGGAGGTGATTTGTGGCTCAACATTAAGGAATAAATTAATATTTTTCCCAGACAGGATCTCACTCTGACTGTCCTGGAGTTCACTAAATAGACCAGGCTAGCCTCGAACTCACAGATATCCACCTGATTAAAGGTATGCACCACTACACCCAGTCAAAGAGGAATTTTTTGAAGGGAGTTCAGGGGTGGGATGATCTACCTGGAGGCAGTGGCTTACACAGCTGTATCTGGGAAGTCAAGTCTGTTGGGAGGACAGACTCATTCTTTGAAGTACTCCGTGTGTGCTGTGTGTGTGTGTGTGTGTGTGTGTGTGTGTGTGTGTGTGTGTGTGTGTGTGTAAGACAGAGGGGAGGAAGAGCAGAGGCAGCCAGGAAGGGCAGGGGAGATAGCACAGTTGGTGTAGTGTTTACCTACCTCATCTGGGTTTCATCCCCAAGCATGACATAAAATTGGCATGGTGACATATACCTGTTATCTCAGCATTTGGGAAGTAGGGGCAAAAAGATCCCAGGTTCCAAGTCATCCTTGGCTGACCTGAATTTGAGGTCAGACTGAACTACATGAGACCCTGACTGAAAAAAACAAAATCAAAACCACAAAAACAAAAACAGAGAAATAGATACCTCTGAAATGCTCCTGGATCTCGAAACTAAAGGGCACAGATGATCTTGACGAAGTTCAGTGAGTGAGCATGTTCTAGAAGATGAGCTCACAGAGCCAGGAAGTTCTAGAAGGCCCTAGGTTGGTCTGGAGTCTACTTTCTTTATTGCTCTCTTAATGCCCAGTGCTGGGACACTGGCAGGATTGCAAGGGGTGTCTGAACTGAAGCAGGATTTTGAGCCACAGTCACTGCTGTCATTGTCACCACGGTTTCAGCTCTGGTAGGGAGGACTGCTGATCTGTGAGCCCCTCTCCATGAGTCCTGGTGGTGTTAGCTAGAGGGGCTTGGGAATGGGAAGATGTTGATCAGAGATCAGGGAAGGAGGGGAGGAAGGAGGGAGGGAAAGAGGGAGGGATGCTGTTCTAGAACAGACACTGGACAGAGAGAAAGATATGGAGGGAGAAAGAGAGGAGAAAGGAGAGGGAGAAGTGTAGAGGAAGGAGGAGGTGGGGAGGGAAGGAGGAATGGAGGGAGGGAGGGAGGGAGGGAGGGAGAGAGAAGATGAGTATGAGCCTTTGCTGGCAGGTCTCTGATCTATGAAATACCACCAGGTCTGCCTCCTTAAAACCATGGACCTGCTGTGAATTGCTCTGGATAAACTTATCTTGAAGCCACTTTACTATGAAAAATACTATAAAGTCACAAACACTGGGTAGCAGTGAACTTGGTTTCCTCATCATACATTGAGGATATTAATCCCACCTCTTTGAATGGTTAAGAGGATTAGATGAGATTAAGTAAAAAAAATACCCACAAAACACCTGGCCTTGCAGAGTTGAAGGACTCAGCAAAGGAAATAATTACCTTCCTCCCTGTACTTTGAAAGGGGCTCAAGCTCTGTGACCATGAATTCAGTGTACTTGAATTTAAGAAGTATCCATTGAACAGTCACTCCACACCAGTAGTTCAGCTTGCCTTTCAAGCTATGAAGATAAATAGCGCCAGGTCATTGTTCTGTGGAAATTCACTTTGGGAGAGGCAGCTGATATGTATTACAATCCAGTATGGAGATAAAGTTACCCTACTTATCTGGTGAGATGATTTCCACCAGAAAGGCCTGACTGGGGACTCAGTTTGGATGTGACTCATCCTTGGAGCATTAATAGAAGCAAAGAGACAGTCAAAGTGCTAGACAGCATGCATCACCAGAAGAGCAAACAACTTGGTATCACCAGAACAGGAGGTGTGAGTGAGGGGTGAGCCAGCTTTACTAGGTCATGGAGGGGCCTCTGGACCATGCTGGGAGCAGTGATGGAGCCATTGAAGAGCGAGGCATGACCAAGCTTTGCATTTCAATTCATTCTGGTGCATGTGATATGTCCAGGAGAGTCTGAAAGCCATGAGGGAAAGCAGGGTGGTAGTTTGAGCAGGGAAGATAGTGCTCTTGGAGGGAAGGGTCATCAGGGCATTGGCATTGGTTGGCTGTGGGTAGATGAAGGGCATAGGTTGGAGAAGTAAAGGACAACATTCCTATTTCTAGTATATTTGGGGAATCAGTGCTCTGTGTTGGGGGCAGAAGACAGAACGAAGAAGGGCAGAATTTGGGAGGAACATTATCTCTTCAATGAGTTTAGTTTGAGGTGACTGGGGTATTGACAAGAGGTGTTCAGGCATTAACTCCTCCTCAATGTTGATGTCACAGCAGGGGCGACCTAGGCCTTCCTGATGTAGAAGAGAGGAGGGCTTAAGGTAGAGAAGACTGGAAAATATCTCAGCGTTTAAGTCTGGATCAGAAGTGGGTTATGCCATGGAGGAGGAGGAAGCCTGGATGAAGGGAACATTGTGGGAACCTGTGAGACTGTGCTTTCAACAGGGAAGTGGTCAGCAGGTGAAATGTCCCTGAGGGCTCCTGTAAGGTGAGCCAGCTTAGGTCTCAGGCGGGTGGTAGTGGAGAAACTTTAGGAATCCAGATTAGCAAACAAGGAGAGAGGTATTGGTGCACATCTGTAATCCTAACCACTCATAAGGCCAAGGCTGGAAGATCATAAGTTGAAACTCAGTCTGGCAATTGGAAAGATATACTTTCAAAATAAAATGGATGTGGGGGATCAAGGGACTGGTGATATAGGACAGTGGTAGGGTCTTCCCCGGCGTGTGAAAGGAGGACCTTGAGTCTCATCTCTAATACTAGGAAAGAGAAAAATAAAAACAAAAATAAAAGACAAGATGAAGGAGTAGGGAGACAGTGGCAAATTTTCTCTCAGAAATTTGGATGAGAAGAGAAGAAAAGAGATCGGTACAGACAAGGATGAGAAGCAAGCGAAGACATTGTAGAAGCTGTGGCCCTAACCCTGGGCATCTGCATGGAGTGAGGGGGAGCAGACAGAGATGAAGTTCATGGATGCTGGGAGAGAAGGCATGCCTGACTCACGGCTGTGAGGGGAAGAAGAATAGAGCGCAGAGGCAAGAGGGACGTGGTTGGGAAGCCTGTCACATGGAAAGTCAGTGGCCCAGAGAGGAGAGAGGCCAACATATCCAGATACCCCTTATGAGAATTCTGGGAGGCAGGGAATATTCACAAAGATTGGAGTTTACATTCAGAATCAGCATTTCCCCAGGAGCCTGAACCAGGCAGTCTGATGTTCTAACAATGACCAGGAATAACGATCAGGTGTTGGCCTCTTCATATCTTTGAGGGCAAGTTGTTCCAGGCATGAAGATCATGTCCCGAGAATGAGGAAGGAAAGTAGGAATCAAGCAAGATGGTACCGCTAGTGGCAAAGGCTTACACATTGACCTTATACTTACTCCAGGGGACTGGACTGGTGACAGGGTGTGGGAAGTTCTTGAGGAGTTTGAAGGTGGGAGAGGGCTGAGGCAGGAAGAGGGAAAAATCCTGCTTTTCTTGGTGCAGTAAGGGGTGAGGTGATCTGGGAGCTGAGAGGGGGATACTCAAGGGTAGTAATGGGGGCTTTGAAGCCCTTTAGAGGAGCAGAGAGAAAGATGATCAAAGCCAAGCATCTGCACAGATGCTAGCTCATGATGGAAGCAACGGCAAGTCTGTTCTTCATGCAAAGAGCCAATATCTTTACACTCATCTTATCTTTCACTCTTTCAATCATCTTTTGAGGCAACTATTAATTTCCACCCAATTTATAGATGAAGAAAAAGAGGTTTGGAGAATGTCCTAAACTTAAGACATAGGAAGGAACAAAGGTGGTTTTCAAGCCCATGCGTGAAGCTGTGCCCTTAATCACTTAGTCATTCTCAATGTTTAGTGCAGGAGTTTGGAAAAAAGTATACCCATGTTTTTAATTTTTCAGTGAGCAGAGTGAGTACACAAAACACAAGTTCCCTTATAGCACTTTACTATATACTTAGTTTGGGTTGGTCCTTCCCTGACCTCTAATATTCCCTATTCCATTTTATTTTTTAAAAGTTTTAAGCATTTTAAAATCGTGTGTGTGTGTCTATGTGTGCATGAGTCCTGGTACCTGTGGAGGCTTGTGGAGGGCATCGGATACTCTGGAGCTGGGGTTACAGGTGCTTGTGTGTTTCTTGATTTGGATGCTTGGAGCCAAACTCAGGGCCTTTACAAGAGCACTGCATGCTCCTAACTGCTGTGCTGTCTCTCCAGCCCTACCCCTTCCACTTTAATATAACACAGAGGACACACATTTTAGAGATTGAGTGGGTATTTCATATATTTCATGTTTTGACTTTGTGATGGTGGAGAGGAGCTTGTGGGCAGAGTTCGGGAGAGATGGGTAGATGTGTTTGGTGGTATGAGCAGAAGGCTGCAGAGGTGGGGAAGTAAGAACTGATGAGGAGTAGCAAGGCCATGAAGCAGCAGAGACAGCGGTGTTGAAGGCTAGCAGGCTTGAAGAGGTGAAGTAACCATGAGGCTAAGCATCAGCAGTGGCTGATGTGATGGGGACATCTTCCCACAGAACCAAGTGACAGAGAGTAGAGCAAAAGGGATGGGTGAGTTTTAGGGAGCTTTTGCAAGGTGAGGCTACAGAAGTGATGGTGAAGATGGAGACTTGAGCACTGCTGGGGATCTGAGTGTGGAAGGCGTGCCTTCTGCCTAAGAGGACTCCATGCTGTGGCCTGAGGCTGACAAATAGAAGCCAGGAGGCTGGGAGAGAGACCTCTAGACTGGGGCTTGAGGTACCTTTTCCAAGCCTTCAGGAGCATGCCTGGTGTCCCATCAGGGATGGAGCCTTCTGACACCTCTAATTTCCCAGGGTGCACTCAGGCCCTGTCTTTCTTTCCTTCTTCCAAGGGGCAGCTGTCTGGACCCTTGACCAGGGCTGGTGAACTGTCTGCCATCCCACAGTTCAGCCCTCTATATCTTCCACCGCATGGAAGCTAGGATCCGGGATCCCAGAAGACAGCTGTGCCCACCTGGGATTACTTGGCTGGCCCTCACCTATCTGCTCAGCTGCCTGCTTGCCTGTAGTAAGGCCAAGGTCTTCAGTCGCTGTGAGCTGGCCAAAGCACTGCATGAGTTCGGTCTGGAAGGCTACCGTGGATATGACCTGGCTGACTGTGAGAACCCTTCTCCCTCTACTCACTCCCCTGTCTTTCCTCCTACTCATTTAAGGGCCTTGGAGGCTTTTTGAGCTTAATCCTTCTTTGTAAAACCAGAAGCCAATGAGACAACAGGTGGATAGCTCACCTCCTGAGTAAAATACATACTAGGCAGGCAACAGGCAACAAGATTAGAACCATCCCTGCTGCTAGTCAGGGAGTCAAAGGAACCAGCAGCTTAGTAGGTTATACTTCATCTTGGCACCGAGGATCAAACATGCCTGCCAAAACTTAGATGGCAAACTGAGCAAACCAATAATACCAAGCATTGCAGTTTCAGGAGATAGTAAAGTGTGTCTAGATTAATTTTGTCTCTAGTCCTAGCCTCCTTTGTAGAGCCTGCTTGTGTCTCCTCCCTCCCTCCCTCCTTTTTTCTATTCTTCCTTCCTTCTTTCTTTCATTTTATGAATACAGTGTTCTGCCTGCACACCAGAAGAGGGCACCAGATCTCATTATAGATGGTTGTGAGTCACCATGTGGCAGCTGGGAATTGAACTCAGGACCTCTGGAAGAGCAATTAGTGCTCTTAACCACTG